CCACACCCTCAAGATAGCCACCCCACCCACATCCACACCCTCAAGATAGCCACCCCACCCACATCCCCACCCCCACACCCACACCCACCCACACCTAGGGGTGGGAAGTTACCGTTCCCAGACCGTTACCAGTTACTTTTTCCTGGTAACTTTTTAAAAAGACTAAATATCACTTCTATGGGACTGAATATTGACAATGCACTAGTAAAAAAATTTGGAGTTACCAGTTACCTGGGAACGGGCAACCGTTCCCAGGTAACTGGTAACGGGTCAACTTAAAAAATAACGCAATGACAAAATTCTGTTGACAGAAAGTAATAATTTATCTTTTTAGAGGAGTTACCAGGAAAAAGTAACTGGTAAAGGTCCCGTTCCCGTTACCTTGGTAACTGGTAACTGTCCCGTTACCGTTACCCGGGAACGGTAACGGGAACTTCCCGCCCCTACCCACACCCCACACCCACACACACCCACACCCACACCCCACACCCACACTCACACCCATACCCACACCCACATACACACCCACCAATCCACACCCACACCCACACCCAGCCACCGCCGCCACGATGGATATCTCTGATAGGAATTCTCAATGAAATCAAGTTCATTCAAATTATAAATAGATGTGAAATAGAGAGAGAGAGAGAGAGATATGAGTCGAGAAGGATATTATTCTACAAATAATAATTAGTCAATATCGGGATTGATTTCATATCTGTTTCAATTGTGTCTCATGTGCGTATACAATGATATATATGTATAACATTAGGGATAACTAAGCTCACGTATATAAAGTGATATGCTTAGATGATTTATACAAAATGCATGTTACGTACAAAATACAAATAAAGCATACACATAAAAAGGTGCCGAAAGCAAAGTCAAATAGAAAAAAGAATTTCTTTTTCATTATGAACTTCATCCTATTTCATATTCATATAAATATATATCCCTGTAAATAATATTCGAAGTCCGTATTTGAATTAAATCGTTATGATAAAAATATATTGAAAAAAATAGATAACTATATATTCCAAAAGTACATGCTATTTTCTATTACACCGTATATTTGAATTTTATTTTCTCGATACTCGGTGAATACAACAATCGTATTGTAATCATAACATTCTCATGGTCAATTTTTTATAAATTCTATGTTGTTACTAGTTCTTCATATGCTATTTTACATTTATTACACATATATTAAGAACTAGTTAAAAAAGTAATCTTATATTTTAATAGATCTTCAAATGCTCCATCACATTGTTTGAAGAGTGTGGGTGTGGATGTTTGAATGACAAAAGACAGCAACATCCATGCCCAAATACGCGTTGAATTGAATTTTTAGTTCAAAATCAATAATATTACGGTGGGTCGCCAATCGAACTAGCAAACTTGCAGGATGATGCTATTCCAAGTGCCCGATAGAGTAGATAAGTAATTTGAATGTGTCCATATGCATATCAATATATGAATGAATACAGATTTAAAAAACATCTCAACAGAAAAATGGTTTATTTCATTAAAGTTTCAATCCGATACAATGAATATAAGTTTTTCAAGTAATGTCTTTCCTCTAATGGATGTGAATATGAATGGGATATTGGTATCGATGGGGATGTCTCTTTGTCTAAACACTGACATCGACATCTATAACCATTTTAAAAATGAATTGTATCTTATTTTTTCAAGTTTATTCGAGAGAAAATTGTTGGATACGATTATTCCTTGAGTCAACTACATAGATATTGAGATGCATATCGATAGATAAATCGTATGGATACTGGAACTGATTCGCTTGTGTCCCTTTTTTATTTCCACCCAAGATAATATCACCCTGTTTAGCTCCTTGATGCCAACGCATTACTCGATGATTTTCCGAATCCGCTACATAGAGAGTGCCGAACGAATCGACGAACAGTCCTGTAGGACCATTCAATTGTGTTAGATCATTTCCTGGGCCTTGACCTCCAGCGACAACAATACCTTCTTTTGCGTCTCTTTCCCATTTCATTACACGGTGGTTGCTGTGATCTGATATATAGATAGCCTGTTGTTGATCAACAAAAAGGAAGGTCGGTGAGTTCAGTTGATCGAGACCAGCACCACAGCCATTGCCACCAGCTACAAGAGTTCCATTCTTTTCTCCTATCTGATGTCGTCTTACTTCATGTTTGTCAAATTCAGAGATATAAATATATCTCTCGTGATCCATCGTCAGTCCAAAATAGCCGACGTTATCTATGAGTATTTTACCTTCAGTTGTGCCATTAAGAGGAGACTATTGTACAACTCGACGATTCCATCGATCACAAATAATAAGACTATTCATCATTTTGTCAATTAGTACACCAGTTGGTCGAGTCAACTGATCCAATCTATATCCTCTACCATTGCGGCCAGCAACAACGTGCCCTTTCTCGATGCCTATTTCCCATTGCATGACACAATCATTTTGGAAATCGGCGATGACCATTGTCTGATTATTATCAACGCAGATGCTATAGGGACAGTTGAATCCACTTGCAACAGTGACACCGTTCTGTCTCCATCGAGCATTGTTTCGAATATTAAGTATAACTAAAATAAAAAACGACAGTCACCCTTTGTTTTTTTACACTCTCTTAGTCAATCCATGAATTGAACTGTTCTTATGGGCGATCATACCCTAATAGAGAATCTGCGAGAAAAAAGTCGAGTAAGGTCCTATTCTAAGTCCTGCGGAATGTATTTCTACTTCGCATCCGTGCAGAGGATTACGACGCGAAAAGAATAAAGCATTGATATTTGTATTGTTATCAAGTTAAAGTAATATGATCATCTAGAACTTACACAAAAAAGAAAATGAAATTATTTTCATCTCTAAGAATGGAGCAAGTAACCTACTGATTCGAAAGTCCTAAAAAAAAGTATTTATTTTAGAATAGAAACATAAAGGATACTATTGATCATCTGTGAACATTTACTATTAATTTATTAGATACAAAGATTAGAAGAAAAAGCAGACTTTGTACTTGAAGTTAATTTGAGGTACATCGGAGTATTTTGAGCTGCCCTAAAATACTTCTCTGTACCTTGAAAGTACTCTGTTGTATTCTAAAAATAGTTTCGGTGTAATTTTAATATAATTTGATATACTTGACCTCTACTTTTTGCTTTCTTGAATGATGAGCAAATACATATATAAACAGTTGAATATTTCTTCGCACCCTCTCTTAAAAGTCATCTATAACCTATCCCTTAGCGATATCATTGGTAAGATTGGTGAAGAGGATAGTTTGAGAGGAGCCCACAGCGAAGACTATTTTCTTTTTTGTCATCCAGGTGCTTCTCACTAAGATAACTCAGTAATATAAATATGTTGGTCTTCACTGCCTTCCTCAACCTCAACATGCTATAATCCTTTTATGCATTTCTTACGAAATTTTCTTAAGCATTGGAATAGAATAATCATTTCAAGGATATTTGGCATTTTTCCAGTTTTTTTCTTGCATGTGAGACCTACCATTCAACAGGTTCTGCTAGTACTGAATACCAGTCAATAAAATGAGAGCTAACAGTACATATTGTAAATAACATGAAGCTTCAACATTGGGCGATTGAAAAATTATAAACATCATGTGTTAAAAAGAACACGAGAATGAACTAAGTATGTCATTTATTTTTTAACTAAAGTTTGCTAAGTAGAACTGATTAGATAATGTTAAGAGATCATGCATAATGACAGCTGATTCTTCAACAGTTTTTGAACATATATATTAGTTCACTGAGAGGCACTACTTTTATGTGTCATCGATAAGAATACAACGAATTTAATAAATATGTTAAATATCTACTACTGGATTCGGTAGAAGAAATGGAGAAAGAAATAAGGAGATACCTGTACTATTTGTAAAAACTGTTCTAAGACACTTGACGCAGAAAATTAAAATCTAGAGTACAGCATATAATCAATAGATATTTGTATGCATTTCATTCCTATCGATACTTATTAAGATTTTTCAAAAAATTGGCTCGCTATTTACAAAATGTAAATCTCTAATAGGATCGGTTGTAACTTTTTTTTTGTGAAAAAAATGTAGTTTTAATTATGTTCTATTTTATTCTTAAATAATATCCTTGATGTTGATGAACTTACAAATAGCATCATCACTAACATTGATATTGAGTGTATGAAGCAATGCGTTTGAATTTCGAAATTCAAAAGCTTTTTTACTCCATCGAACGCTCTTTTCATAATCACCAGCTTGTAATGCAACTTTGGAAAGATCATCATAAATGCTACTAAGTGATGGATCATTTGATGGAAGTTGACTCAAAAACTCAGTTAAGTATTTTTCAGCTAAGTCAAATTTTTCCGTATCCCATAATATTTTTCCTAATGTTCGAAGATTTGTTTCTCTATCACTGAGTTTCTGTTTCGTATGCATGAGAATTTGTTTTAAATCAGGTTCATTTTCACTACACAATGTCATTTGAATGATCCATATTTGATTATTCTCATTACGTTTGATGCTGTTCAAATGAAAAATAGAACCAAGCATAAAAAGTATTCGAGATTCACCAAGATATTCACTGATGTCACCAAATGGTTTTGCTACGACTATATCAGGATCGGCATAGATTTCAAACAATATTGGTTCGAAATTTTCGGAATTATTAAAAACATCGAGAAATGACACAGCTTGTTGATAATTAGTAGTAGTGGAAAAAAATGAATTTATGGAGATAAATTGACCAAGATATTTCTTTAAAGTGTTTAGTTCATCACTTGATATAATCTGTTCTCGATAAACTCGTACAGGATGGTGAGTCTGATACTTCTTTAATTCATGTTGAATATCAGAGATAAATGATCGAAATAAAAATATCATATGAATATTTTCAGTAAATAGAATTGCATTAAGAACCTTGTAAAAGAATGATTGTCTTGTGTACCACCATAAGGCTTTGTCAGAAGAATAGCTTCTTTTAAAATCACAAAGATTGCTTAACTCAAGCTCATTACCCTCATATTCATTTTGACAAATTTTAATAAGTTCATTCGTATCCACATTAGTAGGTTTAATTTGTAGAAGACACTCAATAAGCAGTTGAAAGAAAAGAAATTGACCATTGACATTGTCTGCTGATTGACTCAAATTAGAATCTACAGTAAAAAAGTCAATACACAATGGTTCTTGAAGTATTTTCTGTATTTTATGATCAGTTTGGATTCGAATAATGAGCTCATCAAGTTCAACAGTAACAGCCTTTATCTATTAACAAAAAAAACACAAAATAATCACAAAATGTAATTGAAACTGCGTTCAAGAAATATTTACTTTGGTAAATTTTTCGATCCATTCTTTGTTACGTTCTTTATCCGTGTCATATATATAAATGGAAATAACTTGTCGAAGTTTAAAAATAGAAGGAATTATCACTCGTCCTAATTCGTCATTAACTATGATGATTACTCGTTCATTTTCTGATCGTTCTTCTATATATTTTTGACAAATTTTTATGTCTTCAAACTTTTTGAAACGATTCATTATCAAACGTAGTTTTTGTTCTGCGTCTTGATTAACTTTAACATTGGTACAAGCATCGAGCCATATAAGACAGAACGTCTCCAAAAGCATATCGTCACTTTCTTTATTCCTCAATTTAACGAATGTAGCAATGGTTTCAACAAGCTATAATAAAGTTTCAACTATTTTTTGTGAAATTATTTATCATCCGTTAACGGAATTTTAATGATAAGTGGGACAAAATATTGTTCTAATTATGATATTTTGACATACACAGAAGATTACGCTCTATGTGTGAACATAGAATTTTTACTTAACACAGTCTGCACATATATCTTGCAATGAAGGTGTGTGTACTGATAATCAAAGAGATAGGACACATTCGGGTCAAATGAAAGCTCTCATCTCCAAAATAACAAGGTTAAAA